AGACTCGATTGGGGCCATGGCCTAAAGTAACGGTGGATTTGGAGCGGCTGAGGTTGACGGTATGCCGATCTTGCCTCCGCCGATAGTATGGGATCCTCAGCTCTGTACTTCAATACCCGATCGTCCAGTGTGGTTGGCGCGTTGGTGCTCCTCAGGTTTCGCACTGCTACTTTGTCGGCTCACAAAGTTCCGTCATGGTTCGAACCCGCTCGCTTTTTCCAGCACCCAGTTGGTCGTTCGCCCAAGTTCCCGAGCCGGGCGATGCACCGTCGACGAGGTCCTGACACCGACCGAGCGACGGGATTGTCATCGATCTCCTGCTGCATCGTCGTCGTTGAGGAGGGATATCATCAAGCGCTCCTAGACACACAGGAAGGAGCGAATGCGCTTTGTGTTGACATGGAGGCGTCTTGAGTACGCCCGAAAGCGTTTGTCGACGAGATAAACGAAAAGGACTAGCCACTTACACCGTTATCCAACGCTTGCACGACATTTGTCCAATCAAAGGAGCAGTCTAAAACCGGCGATGGCCGTCAACCCCGGGCCTCGGGTACGAAGCGCCCATCTCCCGGTCATTGTGGTGACATGATGCCGGGCTGTACTAGGGCATGGCACGTCCTACGTCGTCACCGACACCGCTGCGACTTTTACACAGCGCTGCGAATCGGTCTCGGCAAGCGTCCGGGCCGCCGTCCTCGACGCTGCTTAAGAAGAAAATCAAGCAGCCGAGCGTTGCAGAGCGCGACCGTGTACTCAAGGCACTCGTCGCCAACAATTCGCTCGAGCTGTACCAGCTTGGCGCTGTACGCCCTCTATACTGCGTCGATGGGCCATGTTGAAGATGGTGGTCTAGGTCATTGGCAACGGCCAGTTCGGCCAAGTGCGCACGGGCGTGCACCGCTTGAGCCAGCGCCGCGTCGCGCTCAAAGTCTACTCCAAGTCTAAAGCGATCGTGTCGGACCAGATATCCTCGATCCAGAAAGAGGTGGCGTCTTACCAGATTCTGGGTTGTTTACATGTGGTGCAGATTGACATTATGAAGGAAATCGACCACCCAAACATTGTGCGCCTCTACGAGATCCTTGAGACGAAGGACCACATTACGATCGTCATGGAGCACTGCGACGGGTTCGCTTCACATGCAATCGCAGGATCGTGACGCATGTAGGGAGGACCTCGGCAAGTACATGGCCCGCAAGACCAAGCTCGACGAAGACGTGGCGCGCGTCATCTTTCAGCAAATCACCGACGCGATGGGCTATCTCCACCGAAAGCACATTATCCACCGCGACATCAAGGTACCTTGCCTCGTACCATTTCCTAGAGCTACAACTAGCCAACCACGTTTACAGCCACAAAACATTCTCATTCAAGAGAGCGCGGGGCGCCCTCCGCTGGTCAAGCTCGTGGACTTCGGGCTCGGGGCGCGGGACACGGCCAAGGTGCAGCCGAAGCTCACGGCCTTTTGCGGCACGCCAGCCTTTATGGTGCTATTTTCATGTATAGCCTTTTGTGGTAAGGACTTGGTATCTAGGCACCGGAAATTATTGCCCACGAGCTCTACGAGGGCAAGTACGTAGTATGTTTGTGCCGTGACGGCACCATGTCACATGGCGTAGACCCGTGGACGCGTGGAGTCTTGGCATCCTGCTGTATCTTTTGGTCACGGGCACCATCCCCTTTGATGCGCCGTCACCCGCGCAGCTGTATCCTAAAATCTGCCGGGGTGTTTTCGAAATGCCAGCCCACCTCTCCCCGCCGTTGGTCGACCTCCTTCGTGGTGTGCTCACAGTCAATGTCAACCAGGTGCGATCGTGTCATGTTGATTTTGCAACCAACAACGTGTAGCGCTTGTGCGTCGAGCAAATGCGCCACCACCAGTGGCTATGCGTGGAAGAGGTAGTCGCAAAGCGGACACCCGTCACGATCGACTCGATGACGTCGCTCTTTGTGGCCGAGGCCAGCACCCACCGCGCGATCCTCGCCGAGGTACGGGTACCGGATGTGTCGCCGCTGTGACCAAATTGTCTTGTGACACAGATGACAATATACGGACTGCAGAAGGAGGCCATTCTGGACGATTTGGCGTCCAAGACGTATAATGGCGTCACGGCATGGTACCGGCTGCTGCACTTGCAGGCGCTGCAGACGAAGCGGAAGCAGTCGGCGCTGCTTGCGCCAAGCAAGACGACACAAGCGTTCAAAAGGCTAGACGCGATGTCCAACAATACGGTCATATCGTCCATGGACTTTGCGCGGTTCCTCCAAGAAAAAATGTCGATCGCCAAAGACACAGCAGCGCCGTTTGCGATCAAACCGACCAGCTCGACGACCGACTTGTAGTTGTAGTCCTAACAAAAACACTAGCATTCGTTCCCTAATCACGAACTGATGTGTACACTCCCTGTACAAATTTGTCGTGCAACAGATGACAATATTGCCAAATTATCTGCATACCGGTACCGAGTAGCGCGAGGCGGCGTTCACCTTGGCGCCAAACCTCGCTGGCAATTCGACCGCCGATATCCGTACGTATCCGGATAGCGAGGGTCCATTTAAATTTCAAACATGTCCAAGCGGGAGACCGACTCGGCGGCGACGGCGGCAAGGTCAAGCGCACCGGCGAAGCGGTAGCACCAGCATGGCATCTGCCCGATGCAATGCGATGACGAAGAAGCGTAGGTTCCGTCTGTCTAGCGGGTCCAAGATCCCGGTCGTCGTGGCGGCGACGACGGTGCCAGGGGCGAAGCGGGTGATGGAGCGCCCACGGACCGTGCCGAGAGAGGTGGTTGTCGCACCCAAGAGGTACGTGGCCCATGAAGATACGGCGCTGACTGTGCTGACTATCGTAGGCCGGTCAAGAAACCGAGCGACGATGCCGAGCCATCGCGGCCGCCCAAGGCCCCACGAGACGACGATTCGCTGCTCACAGACAAGCATGCCGAGCTGCTCCGGCAGAGCAACCATTTTCTTGAAATCAGCGAAACCTTCAAGCTCAAGGCCGATGTTGAGCGCCTCACGAGCAGGATTGCACAGCTCGAAGGTCGTCGTGTAGCACATCAAAGATCTGAACCAGCGCCATTGTAGACCGAGAGAAGAAGCACGTGGCCGCCAAGAAGAAGCTGGCAGAGACCAACAAAGTGTTGGTAGAGCAGAACGCAGAGCTCACGCAGCAGAACAAGGAGCTGCGAGAGACGCGTGCCGAGGACAAGGTCAAGATCCGAGATCTGCAAGCCCAGTTGGAGCGCAAGGTAGTTGGACGCCTAGCGATGTTTGGTGTCACCGCCCACTACATAGAGGGACAAGGCCACGAATGTGCGAGAAGCCAAGAGAGATGTTCCTCCTGCGGACCTGCCCCCAACAAAGTCGAAAGCCGAATATACAGCCGTCCTTCAAGAGCGCCACGCCATTATCGCCCAAGGGCTCGACGAGTCGAGAAAGACCGAGTATAAATTCTACACTCGAGCATCGACCAAGTGGCTCACCTTTCCACCTCTAGGGCGCTGTTGCGTTCGCTGTTGGCCGAGCTCGATAGTCCTTAACCTAATAGTAGTGCGTAGACCTAGTCCTAATCATCCATGTGTGCACTCCTCGTGGAGGCTGCAATCCCAAGCTCCCAAGCTGTTGAGATGGTCGGCGCCATTTAGTCCATACTATTTGCATTGAAGCGTAGCATCGGTAATATAGTGTGACATTTGCACTTTCCAGCAGGAAGCACAAAATGGCGGTCAAGAAGCGACGGGGTCAAGGCAAGGCCGAGACGCCGCCGAGCAGCCAAGTGAGTACGACGAGCGAAGCAGGCGAGCGCGACGAGCCCTCGTTGCCACTGCCGCTGCGCATGGCCCTGATTGCCATCACGTCCGTCTTGGCGGAGAAGGGCTGGCGCAACCGCGAGGTCGTGACCGTGTATCTCTACAACGACAAGCAGACGTCGACGGAGCAAGCGATGATCTCTGTCTTTGCGTACATTCTGCTCATGGGCGCGCTCTTTGCCAGCGGATTTCTACTGAGCATCGTCACCAACATGATGAAACACGCGTACTTCCGCAAGGCCTAGTCGCATCGTCTACTAACTAAGATGCATGTCTGCGTTGTATTCCTTGTCGCTTACTAGTACGGTGGACTAGAGTGCATTGGGGATCTCGCTCGGCGGGTTCCACATGATGTGGCACATCATGGCGACGATGCGCTTGGGCCCGAGCGTCGACGCGCCAAACGCCATCATCTCGGACGTGAACGAGTCGTAGACGGTCTCGACGCCGGCGAGCATGGCGTCAACACCCGTGTTGGCCGCGGCCTTGGCGTCACCGGCGATCATTGGCACGTTGAACATGACGGCTTGGGGCGTCCCGCACTTTTCCTGGAACGCAGTCGGGATCGGGCCCGGGCTCAGTGCCGTCACGCCAACGTTGTAGCGGCGCACTTCGTAGTTGATGCTCTGCGAGAAGCGGAGCACCATGGCCTTGGTCGCGCCGTAGATGGCCGACGTCGGCATGGGCGAGGCCCCCGAGACGGACGCAATGTTCAAGATGCGCCCGCGGTTGCGCGCAATCATGCCCGGCAGGAGCGCATGCGTGAGCTGGACGAGCGCGGTGACATTGATCGAGACCATCTCGTGCACGTGGGCGCGGGTCTGCGAATGGAACGCACCTTGGTACCCGAGGCCAGCGCAGTTGACGAGGATGTCGACTTCGACCTCTTCTTTGGCCAAAAGCGCTTCGATGGCCGCGACGCCCGACTCGGGCGATGAGAGGTCGGCGGGGCAGACATAGGCGGTGACACCGAGCACGTCACGCATTTCTTTTGCAATGCGCGCAAGCGTCGCCTCGGTGCGCGCCACGAGCACGAGGTTGAAGCCTTTCTCTGCAAGTGCAAAGGCAATCTCACGCCCGAGGCCCGACGACGCGCCCGTGACGACGGCGATGCCCTTGGCGCGCGGTTCGAGCGGCACGAGCCGGCGCGCGTGCCAATAAAAGAGGGCGACGTCCAGCACGCAGAGGATGAAGAAAAAGTACGAGAGATACGACAGCGCTTGGTAAGTGCGGTCGGCCGAGACGCGCCCGCGGTACAAGACGTACGAGAGGAGGCCAAAGACCCACACGCCGACGTGGAAACGCTGCGGCGCAAAGGTGAGGTTCATGCTCGATGGAAAATGTGATGACGCATGTGTTTTCGAACGTATCCGGAGGATACCGGTGCTTGTCCCGGGGTCGACTCGACCGAGCCGCATGTCTGTGCGTCGTGTCTGTGCATTGAGATAGCGCGCGACCCAAGGCAAACTAGCATGGCGCTCACCTCGTATGCGGTGCCATGGACGTACGATCTTCTGGTGAGCACATCTTTGTACCCAGAGGCCGCTCGGATGCGCCACATCTGTGTCCGACCCGGGTCGTCAACGATCGCAATTCACCTGACCCCCGTTCACCTACTCCACGCCACAGGCGGCAGAGCTTGGGCGGCAGCTCGCTTGATTGAATCGCACTCTGTGGCATCTAGTGCTTCGAGCAGCAGCGCGTCGTGGCAGTCGCGATGGTGCAAGGATGAAGTGCTGCGATCGCCATTGGCAGCTGAAGAGTGCTGCTATCTGCTAGTTGGCAGAGCTCGTCAGCTTTGGCTCAATGTAGACACTTGGCGTGTTTGCGTGTGGCACTCGGATCTTATAGGCTCGAGACACAGGGGCAATTCCGGTATCGTGTCAAAGGGACCTACCTGTACGGAGATCGATGCAAAGGGTGCTTGTGGCTCGCAGGGCGTCGCGCTGTGCGACCAAGGGTGGACGCATGTATGGATCAAATATATTGTCCCCAATACTTACGGTCATCTACGCACGCAGACACGAACGATGCGAGTCTAGTTGGCCTTTTCCAGCTGAGCCACGCGCTTGGCCAAGCGGGCGTTGGACTCGACGACATCGTTCTTCAACGCGCCGATTTCCTTTTGGATCTCGGCGTTCGAGAGCTTCAAGTCCTGGCGGATCTGGTAGACGGCGCCAGCGCCGGCGAGGCCCGCGCCGACGCAAAAGGCCGTCAGGCGCTGGAGCAAGGACGAGCCGGCCTTCTTGGGCGCGACAGGGGCGGCCTTCTTTTCAGCCACGGGCGCGAGCTCCGTGGAGAAGTGGCGGAGAGGCGCCTTCATAAGACGGGCAGAGGCACGGCCAAGCATCGTCGGTCGTCGGAGGTCTATTGGATGGTGCCAATGTACGGCCGACAGTGGGGATTTCCGGATGCAATCATTATCCGGAAATCATGTCATAAAATCAAAAATTCTCTTCTTTTTTTAGACAAGCACGAACATGCCTTGCCTTTTGTATGTATTCGTCAACAAGGACATTAAAATGGACCAAGGAATTGTAATCTATGGCGGCACGGGCACGGCTTCTCGACTCATACAGTTGCATCATCCAAGCCAAGCAAAATGGGTGTCCATGTCCAGACGACCGAAGCCGGCAACGGCACTAAGCCCAGCCGCGGCCAGACGTGTATCATGCACTACACGGGCAAGGTAGACGGACGCGCTGCCTCTCTATCCATCGCTCTCCGACTCATGCAGGCTCTGCGTATGTAGCTCGAGGATGGCACGGTGTTCGACTCGTCGTACAAGAAGGGTCGCCCGTTCCAGTTTACGCTTGGCGTGGGCCAGGTCATCCGCGGTGCGTAGAGTGCATGACCGATGTGTGCGTAAGGTCGTAGCATGCTCATGTACATGCTGCGTGTAGGCTGGGATGAAGGTGTTGCCCAGATGTCCAAGGGTGAGAAGGCGGTCTTGACCATCTCGTCGGACTTCGGCTACGGCGCGCGCGGTGTCCCCGGCATCATCCCCGGTGGCGCCACGCTCCTCTTTGAAGTGCACCTCGAAGACTTCCAGTAAGGCGCTGAACCTCCCGGCAAAGGAGGCGTCGCTTGTAGATATGCCATAGCTACCACCTTGTAATATACACAGCTGCGCCGACGCTGTGTCGTGCTAACGGGTCTGCTACGCCATAGCAATAGCGCTTCGATGGCTCGTCCATGCCGCTCATTGATCGTTGTCACCTGCACCGTCGGGTTGCAATTGTCGTGAGGGTGAACCATAAATCACTCTTCGTTAGTCTCTATCTACTGCGCTTACTTGATCAACGGCTTGGCCACCGCATCACGGAACGACTTGAAAGGCGCGAGGCCAGGGAACTGCGTCTGGAAGAAGAACGCCCGGAAGCCGGCGTTGGCCGAGAGACCGGCCGGCGCAGCCGTGGTCTCGGCGACCGCCGAGGTCATGGTGTGGAAGCCTTGGCGCTGCTTGTGCTTGGGGTGCTTGTCGCAGATGACGTAGACCTTGCCGCGGCGGCGGACCGTCTTGCACGCATCGCACATCTTCTTCACGGACGAGCGGACCTTCATGCTTCCTGCTTGGGTGTCTTCGTTCACTGAGGTGGTTGGTCCAAACAAAGTGTATTGCACCCTCTGCAATGCGATATCACAGAGCATTCAACTATACAGGTCCTTACAAAACACATATAGTGTAGATATACAATTCAGAGGGACCTGTATATTTGTATATGATTAAATGATAGAGGTTAGCGAAGAGACAGCGGAGCGTGGGAAACTGCATTTCCCACGCGAGAGGCTTTGTCCACGTCATCCAGGACTTCAACGCCTACATACGAATGCGGACGAGACCTTGATGAGTTGGTGAACTGCACTGCGTACTTTGCAAAGAACAACATACTCCGAACGGCGCCCGCAAGGCTCGCACCTGTACCGAGGAAGGTATATGTCACTCCTATCTCTGCGATGAGGTTATGGTATCACCGGCTACAGAGCGCGGCTATAGTCATGCTCCGCAGACGTCTTTACACAGTCAGACGCCATGGGCATGTGCATTTCTGCGGGGATAGACCTGCTTCTATTGCGCTCAAACGCTCTTTCTAACGACACAAGCACCGTTTATGGTCCTTGCAGGTACACGACGAGGTATAGCCTTCGGGCTGCCTTGACAGGGTATCTCTCTTCCGCGACGTGACGAGGTAGCTGTAGCAACAACGGTGTATGGTCAAACGAATGGACTACGGCGCTCCATGCGCACAGGGCGATTGCAATTATTTCAGATCTGTGTCGAGCGATCTTGTCATTTTTCACTTCAACACAACGAGGGGTCGCGGTCGTTTCGCGTGTAAAACGTGGTTTTTGCGAATTCGAGGAGCAAAAACGAGGCAAACCCCAACTTGCAATGGACTTCATCACGGAAGACACGTCGTTCGCTGCCTACGGCGCTGCGGCGGCCGCCATTCTCATCTTGCTCTTTGTGCTCCTCAAGCTCTGCGGCGGCGGCGCGGGCCTCGGTGGCAGCGGCCGCGACGTCGTGCTACTCGTGGGCCCGTGCGGTGCGGGCAAGACCGCGCTCTTTCACCGCCTCCGCGATGGCCCGACCAAGGTCCAGACCGTGACGTCGATGAAGGAGACGATGGAGACGTTCCCGCTCTTTGATGAGGAGAATGCTACGATCTCGATCTGTGACTTTCCCGGGCACGAGCGCATGCGCTCGACGGCGACGCAGTTCTACCCGATCGCCAAGAAGATCATCTTTATCGTCGACGCCACGACCGCAAACGATGCGTCGCACATCCGCAAGGCCGCCGAGTATGCCCACATTGCAAGCCAGGCTGTGACTCACGCGTGCGACTAGGTTCTTGTACGACATCTTTACGCACCCCAAGATCAACGACGCCGGCGTGCCCGTCATGATTGCTTGCAGCAAGACCGACGATGTCAAGGCGGCGACGCCGGCGACCGTGCAGTTGCTCCTCGAGGCCGAGCTGTACGCGCATGTACACGAGTTGTGCGCATCTCATGCTTTTCGTAGGACGCAGATCAAGTCGACGCGCGCGTCGCTCGAAGCCCATGGCGACGACGACGAGTCGATTCCGCTTGGCCGTGACAATGCACCGTTTGAGTTTGCGATCGACGCGCCGTGCGATGTCACGTTTGAGGGCTACTCGATCCAGACGCCGGACGCGCTCAACCCGCTCCTGGACTTTATCATGCAAGACTAAGAACATGAGCGCTTGCATCTTATTCCAACGTATACGTGCGAGAGAAAGGGTGGGCATGTAGAATTTACAGGGAATTAACCAAGCAGCGCCGCCGTGGTCTGGCCGAGGCCATAGAGGTGCCCCGAGTACTTTTGCGCATTCTCAACCTTGCCGTCGCAGTAAAAGTCGAGCATCTTGAAGAAGACGGCGGCCGTCAAGAGCGCGTCCGAACCAGCTTGGTGCATAATACCGATGCGTTCGACCTGCATGTCTTCGGCCAAGCGGCTGAGCCCGCCCATCTTGTCAAAGTCGAGCGCGAGGTACTTCAGATCATACGTGTCGGGGAAGAACGTGTGGAGGAGGTCGAAGAAGCTCTCTTCATCCGACGGCAGCGGCGCGCACGTGAGCACCTTGATGAGGTACCCAAAGTCGTACGAGCCCTGGAAGCTCAACCACTTGATGTCGGGGTTGAGCACAAGGCCGCTGGGCACGAGGAGCTCGCTATCGCCAGAGCTATGAGCCACCGACACACCACATGGCGAGAAGAGCGTACCCGAAGCGCGTGACCTCGATGCCCGACTCTTCGTGCTTGGCAAAGTCAATGCCCGACTGCTTGAGGAGCTCGATCGAGTTCTCGGCGTACATGTCTTCGCCGAGCGAGAACTTGAAGTTGAATTGCCACACAGGCACGTCGTTCATGACGGTGCCATCTTCGTGGAAGAAGGCAATGCCAAGCTGGATGATGCGCAAGAGGTCAACGTTGCAGCGCAGCGTCTGGTATTGGTACTCGGTCGACGTCGAGAAAGACCCGATCGGCCGCGCCACGACGCCTGGGAACTCGGTGTCCATGGCCACGTAGCACTTGCGCCGAACGACCTCGCGGATCGCCTTCATCTCGTCCTCCAGGTTCGTCGCCCATACATCGCGGATCTCGATCTCGTCCGGCATGCTGGTCCTGCGTCCGTCCTGTGGCCGCTCCGAGTGTATGAGGGCTCCGTAACCGGATACGACGCCAGCCGGATACCTATGACTATCCGGCACTTATTATCCGGATTGGTATCGATCATCCCACAACCCCGTCGAGCCTTAGACTTGGATGCACACCGCTTCACCAAGCCTTCATACCAATGCTTCTACACAGTGCAGAGGCTGTCGAGCCAGGGCGATGAAGAAATATCGGCAAGCTTTTCCAATTTCCACATCCTTTCCCCATAAAATTCATCAAATTGCTCATTTTGAGATTCTCCGGGTCGAGTGCCGTAGTTCGAGTCCAAGCATGGTTGTCATGACCGTCCTTGGTAGGTCACGGGAAGGCGCCGCAAGGCTACTGTGGCCGATTCGGCTACTCGCCTCGCCCGAGGTCTCGTTTTGTAGCTAGTGTGTTTGCTATGCCTCCGTCGGGTTCGCTCTAGAGCGCTCTAGACGTGGGTATAGCAAACGCGTACCTCCGTCATCCCTCAATGATTGCGATTGAGCACTACACGAAATAGTGTCGAGGCGATACAACATAGTTCGTAGCAGCGCCGTGAGGCGTGCCCCCGGCGATCGAAGACGCTGGTGACATCCGTCCAGTATGCGCACCAACACCGCTCACCAGCAGCATGCGCAGCGCTTCAAAAGCCAGAGGCAGCGCGAATCTCGGCAACGTACATGGATCTGCGCTTAGAAAGCGTACGTTTGGCCATGAAGTATAGCCGCCGGCGCATGCCCCGTCTCTGGGCACTATGGTCTGGTCACTGGGTGTATCGGGACGTGTACCATTGCAGTCGTTGCAACGATGACGTGTTGCTGGTCGTCGATGGGAGCGTCTCCCTGTCGTACCAGCGGTGCTACCAGGAAGCGCCATGACAGCTCCCCAAGACCACGAGCAAAGCCGTTGCCGTGGTGACATGGACGCGACAGAGCGCGAAAATGCAGCACAAGTGGCGGGAAATGCCAATCCTCATATCCGGCAAGCGTCCGGATACAGAATCCGGTGCTGGATCTTTCTCCCATTTGCCATGGGTCAATAAAACACATGCATTTGCGAATTCGCCTTCAAGCCGACAAGCGAGCATGAGCAGCGCAAGCCAGCAACAGCCGACGGGCGAAGCACGCCGCAACTTCCTCGCCGGGACCAAGAGCATGGATGCGCGGGATGCTGCGATTGACTTCGTCATGCAATTCTGCGAGAGCATGGCACGCGACTTCTACCCGCCGGCGTCCATCGAACGCATCTTCGGTGTCGTCATGCCCACGACGGAGCCGCCGTCGTCGCCGGGCCCCATGTCGATGGACGAGTACATGGCAACCATCCCGAGCACTATGAAGGCCATGTCGACGGGCAAGATCGTCTTCAACGTGTGGGTTGGTCTGCGCAAGCATGACCTCTTCAAGGAAGACGACATGGTCTTGGCGCTGTGGAAGGGCATGCTGCCCGCCTACTTTATGGACTGCGTCTTGAAGAAGTACCACGCCGGGAGCGGCAGCTACTACGAGGCAGAACTGCTCCAGCGCGGGTTCCGTGCCATTGAATGGGACGTTGAAGTCCACGAAATTCTCACCAAGGATCCGAACCCGCCTGCAAGCCAGTGGCAGGCGACGCCGACGTCCGAGACCGATCCACGCGCGGAGAAGGGGCCCCTGGGTCTGCTCGTCAACGGCAGCACGCTCTCGCCATGCGTCGTGACAATGAACACGATGTTTGAGAAGTGCCCGATCGCACATGCCGTTGGCATTCCCCTCTACGTCCGCAAGTGCTTCGGAGAGAGCAAGAAGGCTTCGTGCTACATCATCTCCCGGATGATGTCGGACCCTAAGATCGGCGTGGCGTCCATCCCCTGGACGTACGGCGGCGCTTGTGGTCCTGCGCCCCCCGTGCTTGTCGGCCGCAGCGATGGAGTTGCGTTTACCAAGGACGATTGGGCCGCCTTGGACGATTTCGAGATGACGATGCTCGATGACGGGCCGCGGTCGGTCACCCGCGCTGACTTTGTGGCGTTTGCTCGGAGCCGCACCGACTCGAAGGCGGGTATCATCCTCGAAGCGCTCTTCCCAAAGGGCCGCGCCGTCGTCATCTCGGGCTTGCAGTCGAGCACAGAGCTCAACGGGCTTCGCGGGGTCGTCACGGGGAACTACACCAACGGTCGTATCGGTGTCACCATTGCCGGGCGTACTGCGGCCGTGGCCGTCGCCCCCACCAAGCTCCAGTCGGTGCCGTAGCTTGCGGTGTTTCTCCTATGTCTGTCCGTGCATCTTTCGCGTCGATTCTGCATGTAAGAGCAAGGCTCCTCAGTAAGAGTAGTGATTTTCTGTTGCGTCCATGGGATTCAGGTCTACTTTACTGAGACAAGCCAATATCTCAAACAGCTTCTTCAATCTACTAGTGCTACATAGTGTACAGTGAGCTACGTGTAGCTACTTGAGAAGCGTCAAGTGGGTCGGCAAGAGAGCGACGGCGCTGACGCGGCCTTCAAATTTGACGCCGACACGGCCCTTGCTGTACTTGCCGTTGGTCTTGCCCTTGGCCCCATTGAGCTCGGGGTGCTTCTCCAGGCCATGCGCGCGCACGGCTTGACCTCGTGGGAAGATCACTTCGAGCGCAATCGTGGCGACGGGGGCCGACAGCGCCTTGGCGAACGCTGTAAAGTGACTTCGCATCACAGCACGCGGGCGCTGCTGCACCATCGCATCCTTGAAGCTGTCGAGGACAAGCCAGTCAGCTTCTGTAAACGCGATCCCGTCGCTTCGAACGACGAGAACCTCGAACGCCGCCGGGCCACTGCCGCCCCCGACCCACTCGGCCGGCGCCTCGGTCGAGCACGGGTCGGCCATGAGACGCGATATCAGCTGCGCGTCGCTCTGCCGGGCGCGCGTGGAAGTCTTCTTCGCGTACAACGGGATGGCGGCAGCGTGGGCAATGGGTACCGGTCGGAAGCTATCATCCAACTGAATGTCCCCGGGCGTCAACGTCGTGCCACTGACGCGGAGACCCGCGGTCTCTTTGCCAGCAACCTTGGCGAGAAGCTGGTGCAGCGCCAGATCCCATGCGATGTCGCCGAAGCCGCGATGCAGGAGCTCCGCGATGCACGGACTCGCCGCACCGTCGGCCTGCGCCATGACGCACTCGCGGAAGAAATTGGGTAGGCGGCCTTGCCACAGCGCGCTCACGATCGTGGCCTCCGAAACAGCGTTGGCCTGCGAGAGCCCACGCCACACTTGGAAGACGAGGTGGCCCATCGGCAGCATCGCGAGGCGCGTACTTGCGAGCTCCATGAGCTCGACACCAAAGACGCGGTCGTAGCCGTGTGGCGGGAAGCTGTCGCGCCGAAGGCTCTCGAGGAAGACCCGCGCGACCGCGATCGCCGCTTCGCTTGGGCCGTCCTTGGCGATCCTGGCCCGTAGTTTGGCTCGTCCTGGAGACTCGGCGCCGTCGACCATCTTGCTTCTGCGTTCGGTGACGAGTTCTGAGCACGTGGGTTCCGGTCTGGCGCCTCGCATGTGATTGGCTTGATACACGAAGTTTGCACTTGCTTCGATTCGAAGATATGCTTTTCACACTGCGTTTTTCACAGTCAATGTGACACAGTCGATGTGGCGTGTGTGAAACGGTATCTTGCATTTTGGCGCCAAACCATTCACAGCCGAGTGTTGATCCAAAACAGACTGGTATCAATGAACTCTGGCGCGATTGTCACTATGTAGAAGAAAGCGACGAGCTAAACAACGATATTCAATTCAATTGAGGTAGTTCTCTACGCGACTATGTATGCACAACATCAAGTACATTGCGGTTTCCTAGTGCAAGGTACACCCTTGGAAAGGGTATTCATCGTCCGAGATGTAACTCAATCGACGGCGCTTGCTGCTGCTCTCCGTTGTCTCTTCGATCGCTGCGTGGGCTAACGCTTCGTTTGGTGTGCGAACTGGTGTTGCTACTTCGCTTGAAGCGTGAGCTAGCGCCGGTATCTCGATAAAAGCGGGGACTGGCGTTGGTGTTTCGTTGTGCGGCTGGGCGGTTGGCTTTTCTCGGAGTCGCACCGTTCCTGGCTCCAACTCGAACGTCGAGTACAACTGTCGCGCTTGCTTGTACTCGTTCTCAGTCTTGACCAGGTACGCGTCCCAATCGCTGGGCCGGAGCTTGGGCCAGTCGTGGTCCGCGAGCGGCTTGAAGTTGCGATCGACCTGGTCGCTCATCATGTCGGTGCGCAACCGGTCGCAGCCGGTCGTGCAGTGGTCGACGACGACGCGCATGGCAAGAAGACAGTAGCGGCAGCAAAAGTCGGGGGGGAGCTGAAAGTGCACCTTGCGCCGTGACGGCACCTTGCACGTGACCTTGCCGCTCAAGATGGCGCGGTGCAACTTGGTGCACGTCTTGGTCGAGTGGAGCTTCACGCAAAAGTTGCACGGCGCGTTGGCACCTCCGACCCAGCGCGCGTCGCTGGCCGATTTCTCCACTTCTTGGAGCACGGGACGTGCACGCTTGATGTGCTGTGTGAGCGCAGCCTTGTCCATGGATTCGATGGACGATATGTCGTTGGGCACTTAAGTGCGCCAGTGATGTGCGAGGAACGCGGTCTCCAAGCGCGTAGCCACCAGCGTCTTGAACGCCTCAAATCGATCCATCTCGACGGTGCTCAAGAGCATACCGCACGGTGGCTCAAAGCGCAAAAGGGGCGAAAGGAAGGCGTCAGTCGCGTTTGCAACACCTCGAAGAAACACGTGACCCGTGGCGGATGCAGGAGCCCGTCGAGAGAACCAAGCAAGCTCGGCTACTCCTTGGCGAGCAACGACACCCAGAGCTCACGCGCATCGCTCGTGCCAGTGACGATGCTGTGGAGACGCAGATGGATCGCAGAGGCGAGGTACGCGTGCGCTTCGCTGGCGCGTCGGAGCCGCCCTTGCGTCATAAACGCCTCGAGAGCTGCCTGCACGCGCTCGTCTAGGCCGTTGGCGACAAGAGACTGGCTAAAGGCGCGTAGCTCAGCGTCCACGTCGTCAAAGTTGGAGCGCGAGTAGAATGCGCGGTAGGGGCACGCCTCTAAGAAGCCGTCCTTCCACGCCGAGAAGGTGTCAAAGGACTGAAGCAGGATACCCGTGCAGCTGGCCATTGCAAAAAGCAAATGACCTCGCTTCATCCACACCTTGCCAGACTCACCTTGCCCTTCGACCAACGCTGCGTTTCTGAGAAAGGGCGTGCAACATCCCAACGAGGCCAACGGTGCGATCTCTTGCGCAACCAGCGACTGCCCGGGTGTCTTGGTACTAAGTAGGGCGACAAGAAAAGCTCTCAAAAAGGGAGCTTTACGATGACATCTTCTTGGTGAAATGCACCAGTTGTCTCTCACAGATTTGCCATCAGTTTCTTCTCGTGACCGGTGCATCATGCATCACAAAGGCCTGATACCGAGGCCAATGTGATACCCTCTCGGCACCTCAAGCTTCACCATTTAACCGGTTATGAAGCCGGTTAGGGCTGGTGTCACCAACTTGAAGATCCACCTGAGTGAGATGTTTCCCGAGCGGGTAATGCTGCCCTTCCTGCTCTTGTGGAAGCTGCCATTGGAACGCAACTATGAAGCCGACGCTGCACTCCACGATCTGCA